TTTATTTCTTTATAATTGAACAAGCGGCCCGTCCCGGCTTCACATGGGTGTATTAAATACTATTACCCCCGGAGATCCCGTGTCTGTGGAATTAACAGAACAAAAGTTGTACTTATTCTTCTACAATATCAAACATTGAAGATTTCGCTTTGAAAATCAGTTAAGTGGTTTAAGAAACAGGATTTGACACCTGTAGTCTCATTGCCGTAGAATAATTGTTGGGATGATGGGGAATGTTCTTTTATTGTTATCCTACAATAAAACTTTCTATTAGTGACATTATTTTTTAAATTGGTGAGTCAGATGAGTCAGTCAGTGTATCCTTTTCTCTCTTTAAATACTCGTAATATTATAGAGTATAGATAGAATACATATAGAAGAAGATATGGAAATATATTCGGTAAACTAAAGACCGCTTCAACATTTTGCCTAGTTGACATTCACATGTCAAATTATGAAGTTTAGGCTATAAGAGTATTTAAATAATAACAAATCAGAGCAAATCTGCTGAAAACAGGTCGACTATCTAAAATCTACTTGGTCAGGGGCATGGCCACCCTGATTTTTCAGTTTAGCAAATACTTTCTTTTAGGCATATAGGTTGAATATCTTTTTATCCCGGAATTCCCAAGGGAACGGGAACTTCGCGGGTAAAACGGCGGGGGCAGCTAGTAATTATATATTAGAGCAAATTTGCTGAATATATTTTATAGATAACTTAATATCCTTACTTCTCGTCGTAGAAATCATATTTCAAAAAAATATAAAACAAGATTTTTAAGTCAGTTTTGTTTATCTAAGTCAAGTTTCAAAGCTGTCAACCTAGCCAAACTCGTTTTCCCACACAAACTTTGAACCCTATATCACCCAATTCACGGTGGAATATTCAAAATCCTTTTACGGTTCATGTCACTTAAACAACCTATTTACTATATAAATATCATGTCTCTTCGACCGAAAGTGTAGGCGTGCGTTGACGCACTATTTATAACTTCAATCTTTGTTTTATGGGGGTAGTTAAGAAAATGAAAACACAGCATTTTCATTTATACAGAGTAGGTGTGCAAAATTTTAATTAATTCTATGCACTTTTGGATGATCTCTCATACAAACTTTGAACGAAATTTTGTAATTTTTGAGGGTAGTTGATAAAATTTTATGCAACGGGGCAAAGTATATGTAAACTTGCATTATATATCTATTGGATTGGATTCCGAGGGATAAGATTTTACAAACAAACGTTCTCTAAATCTTATTACTTATCTAGGCAATAATAGGAACCTACTGTCCAAATTTCATCATTCTAGGTCCAGCTGTTTCGGCTGATGAGTCAGTCAGTCAGTCTGTCAGCGTATCCTTTTCTTTTAATATATATACATTATCTATATATATAAAACTCAAAGGTGATTGACCGACATAGTGATCTATCAATGCACAGCCCAAACCACTGGACGGATCGGGTTGAAATTTGGCATGCAGGTAGATGTTAGGACGTAGGCATCCGCTAAGAAAGGATTTTGATCAATTCTACCCCCAAGGGGATAAAATAGGGAATGAAAGTTTGTCAATTTTAAACCGATTGGGCTGAGACTTTGCATGCAGGTATAAGAAGAATCATAGATGAATGTCATTGTGTATAATACAAGCCTGAGAACCAAAACTGTAGTCTACACTTCAGCTCTACACCGAAGCGAAGCGAGGGCGGGTCGCTGTAAGACTATAAATTTTACATATTGGGGTTTTGATTCTTTGTTGAAGATATTTTAATCTGAATAAGTATCAAATTGAAAAAAAAAAACTGTATTGTTTACCGCTTCAGGCAGGCGATTTTTTATTATTATAATTATTTGCCTATAGTTAGTTTTTTTTAATTAAAAAACTTAGTTATATTGTTATATTAAACATTGACTGATTTATTAATACAGTTGTATCTAAGGCATTTTTTTCTGCTAAATTTGTTTTAGTTTTATGCAATATTAAGTCTTTAATGAGTAAAATTTTTAATATACAGTATTTTTAGTAGTTATCCCATCATGTGGCAAAGTCGTGGGGAGCCTTGTAGATCCCCATTGATGAATAAAATTTGAATTTAAAATACAATACTTTTAGAGTCGGTTATAATATTAATTTTCTTTTTTCAAAATAGTTATCTACCTACTTGCTCATAATAATACACGCTAAATGTTTTTTTTTTATTTGCTGAGAATATTATTACATCTAAACTTGTGCCAAATCCAGTAGTTACAGTATTAATCGTGATGAAATAATAAAAATACTTGCTTTCCGATCTCATATTCGGATTCAGCAAACATAAATATCAGTCATGAAATACTGGTGTAATTAGTGTAATTCGACCCCAAAAACAGACAGAACGACTGGACTAATCAGGTTAGAATGGAACCAACACGCTGCGCTCGTATCAAATATATTTGAATTTCAATTAATTATTATAAAAATATAAAAGTGCATCTTATTAACTCGCAACTTTAGAAACTTTGTGTGCGGTTTTTGGTCAAAATATTATTAAATTACGTATTCCAGTAACTAACTTAAATTAAAAATATTTTAAGTAAGTAAAATGTACATGAATATAAACCTTCCAACGAAGCATTTTTTTAACGATCGCTATTATTGAAATATTAATTCAATTTCTTAAAATGTTTTTATTGCAATTTCCCCATTAGTACATATTATACCGTATAATATGTAGTAATTGTTACTAGGGTTGCAACGATATATCGGAATATCGAGACCAAAATATCGATATTTACATCGATATTTAAAATTCACTGATATCGATATCGGAAATTCCAAAATATCGATATTTCGTAGACTAAATTTGAACACAATAATATCAATTAATTTACCTGCTATGACTATCTAAATTGAATAATATTGAAATAACTATTGCTTTGAAATCGCAAGATCCTCTAGTCTAGATGTATTAAAAAAATCTTGAACCCCAAGAAATATACTAAACTGGTGTGGATTCTGGTATAATTCTCTATACCTAAAATTAAATTTGACAACAGTGTATCCTTGTCATTCTCTATACAGAATGAAAAGGAGAGACTGATGTTAAATTTAGTTTTAAGTTTAGATAATCATGCTAGAATCGACACCAACGTATATAGGTATAATCGTATACCTAATGGTAACTCATGCACTTAAATAAAATCCTTGCCTCTCTTTCTAGATAATTGTCAACTACTGATTAATTGAAATCTAATATCATTGTAATATAACACCAAAAAAAAATTAAGAATTTCATACAAATCGTAATTTTCTTAAGCTCGCCAAGTCAAGAAAGTAAGATAGGTATAGTAATTTTGGAAGCTCTGGGCTTACCTTATTCTGAACCGCCACTGATGTGTGGGAGACTAAGCAATTTGCGTATTTGATGTGCGCTAAAAAACCGACATAGCTTGGAAAAGCACGAATGTAGTGAAAACTCAGCGAAGGCATTCGCAAATGTCGTCCCACATATGCGGGTTGGCGCATTCGTGCTAACGAATGTGAGTGATCTGACCAGGATAATAACTTTAATTTTTGGTTTCCTGTCGTGGCTGAAACACAAACCGTGCGAGCCAATAAAAAAATCCTGCTTGGCGCGATTTCATCAAACGTGTTTAACGAAAAAGCTGGCTCAATGCATTTTGCGAGAAACTCGCCAACAAACATATGGGTGTGTCACACTCACCCCCTATTCTAATGTCAATAAAAAATAAAAAGGAAAAATATCGATAATATCGAGTTAAAATGGTCGATATATCGGATATCGATATTTTCCTGACTTCGATATAAATATCGATATTTCAAAAGACTTTGCATCCCTAATTGTTACTAATTAATAAACTCAGAACAATTATAATCTGTCGGTCGTGATAATATTATTTTATACATTCATTGTAAATATTGCAGCTATTTGCAGCTTTAAAGTTCACCAAATATTTTTACCCAATTGGCACAAGTGTAGATGACATGGTAAGTAAAAGTAAATATATAAAGTCAGATCTTCATCAGTTTGAGATTAGTTTCTCTTATATACTTTAACAATACTGAGTACTTATATCATGAGGAAGTACATCAATTATTAAGTATTAAATCAAAATGTAAAATAATATGTATTATTTCGTATTAATAACAATTTCTTAAGCAGTTGAAAATAGGAACGAATAACAGATATAAAAAATAAAGCTATTGAATACGGTATTACAAAATTTCAATCACAAATAATATCACACACACAATTATATTATGCAGTCGTAAGTTATAAATCTATAAGTACATTTTATAAGTATATTTATTAGCATAATTAAGACTATTGAGATAATGACATGGCAATACGTCAATGGCAAAAGAATAAAAATAATGTACAGTGAATACCAAATCAGGCCAGGTTATAAAACCGTTAAATATTTGTAAATGTAGCATTGGTATAAAGAACATAATAATATGTATGTAAAGCACATATTGAAATCAATAGGGCAATTGTAGTGTTTGGTAACCCTGTTCACCAAATAAAATATATTTTGGGCAACAAAATTGTAGTGTCTATTATCCGATCACGTTTTCACTTCGGATTCGTAAAGCTACAAAATGATAATTTGTTTGGTTGTTCTTCTATAAACATATGCTATGTAAGCAAACTACTTACTTCAAGATAATTATTTTGGGTTTGAGACGACTTTTTGGAGGCGAAAGACTGGTTTGCGTCATCGGTCGATTAGACATAGAAGATCTCCTTAGCCGGTAAACATTATTTCTTTTCGTTAGGGTTTCTCACTATTTTATTCTACCTGGGTCCTACGTTCAGAACACTGTTGAAATATTGCCCTTAAATGTAATGAAAACGTAACCGAAGGGTTCTAAAGAAGTTTTCATACTGTAAATTTCAACGTTAATAATAAGAAAAGCAATATAATTTAACTTTATTAAAAGAAAAAACTTTGAAATATGCTGTAATTTGTTGAACTTACAACAAATTACAGCATATTTCAAAGTTTTTAATTTGAATTAAAACGTCGTCTCTGAGTGCAGACGTAACAAATCTTAATAGAAAAAAAAACAGCTTTTGTCTTATAAGTCCTGAAAAAAACATTAAACAGCGTGTAGTTGTTTACATATAAATATATACTATAATTTTATATTCGAAACCGGTTTTCTGAAAGTACACACGAATATAAAAGCCATATCAGCAGTTGAATTTTTACAAAAAAAGTGGCGTTTATGCGATTTTCCTTTTCCCCTGTCGATATTGGTGTCAATTCTGGCACAATTCTCTAAACCTAAACTTAAATTTGACAACAGTGTATCTTTGTCATTTTCTACACAGAATGAAAGGGAAAGACTGATATTAAATTTAGTTTTAAGTTAAGAGAATCACGCCAGAATCGACACCATTGTCTTGTTTTTTTAGTGATATATGGGATGAGACTGGAAAATATTTGGTTGAATGGTTAATCTATCGACTGAGATAAGGAAATTTGAAAAATCACAAAACAACATTAACAGTGAATCTTATACAAATGGTATCGTATCAAATGCGAAAACAGTAACAGTACAATCATAGCAAGTCCTTATTATACAAATATCTAAACGTCAATAATAATACTTTATATTATGTTGAGTATATAAATTATATAGAAAAAGTTAATAATTACTTATAGTAGATTCTTCTGAAAAAGTTGAAATTCAAAAAGATTTGCAAAGATTTCTTGCCATAGATCACAATAAACGCAGAACTGTGCAGGCAGTAATATTACATGTAAGTATTTAGATCGAGATTTTACTGGAATATGTTTGTTTTTATATATTTGCGTAATCTTAGTTATTTTGACGGAAATAAGCATTTGGCATTTATTAGATTATAAAGCAAGTCATTTAAAAACTATTAGACCAAATAAGAAATCAACTTTTAGAGAAGTCTACTTTGTATACAGGCAAGTTTTTTCATCACAGATAAAATAAATAGCTACCTACATTTAAAAAACACCAAACACACCAAAAATTAAACACTCACAATCTGCGGTTTTTATCGACTAATTTAATTATTTACATATAAATTTTCTTCTTCTTTGAGAGTATCCTTTTGATTAAGTCTTCTTTTGCTATACTTCATTCAGGTATAACAACGTCAACGGATGCTATTTGACATTGATCCCGCAATAAAACCAGTTGTAAGGAAAATGTATCGACTACTATGGTTTCTATTTGATATTGTAATTAAATAATAGAGGTAAAAGAAGAGAAGGAATCGTTTCTCAAACTTAAAAAATGAAACAGTAAACTTTTTAGATAATTACAGAAAAATGTGCAAAGTAAATACTTGTGACATACTTGAGGTATACAGGTATATTGAAGTTTCATATTCTACTCATTACAATGGCTCCCAATTTTCGATCACATACATAATTGTATCGTCAATTTGTGTTATTTTATTGGAGTTCTTTCTGTTGGTTGTCTGTAAAATAAAGAGTTAATATTTTAGTAGAAACCTACGGCGTTTCTCCCACTGCACGTACGCCGTACGTTACGTCGCGTAGCGCGTGAGCAAAGATTTTAAAGTTATTTAGAAGTATCTCAGTTCGTTTGTTCGTAGCGACACTGACCAAGCGTCGGCGCGTGCAGATTCTGCCTATAGGGGCATAGCGCCGCAGTCCCGCGCGCATTTTTAAGCCGATTCTTCCACTACCGGCAACGCGTTCTGGCGCGTAGCGCAGATCTGGAGACCTACTCTAATTCAACGAAAAACGTAATTTCGATCGAAACTTCGCACTTTTCTTACTATGTTTGTGGTTCTTTTTTAATTATAATAATATGATTATCTATCTTTCTATATCATTTCTGATTCGTTGGATATCGTAAAGAATGTGATAGCATGTTGGTCAAAACTAAAAGTTAGTTGACATCTTTGTGTGGCCGTAAAAGCTACAATATAAAAAGAAATTACTCGCTAGTCTGCAGCCTGGTGAATCTTAAGAAGACTTGTTCGAGCGTAGTCTGAGAGACGGAGTAGTCTTCTATGGGGAATTGGCGGCGAGCTTCTTCCATTATATGGAAAACGCGCCACCATGGCACGCCCGAGTCGTTCAGGTAGTAAGTGCTGATGCCAAGGTATGTTTCACTGTTGATAAGAATTCATAATGAATATATTTTATTTTCTAACATCACATCAATCGGCCTAGTCCCAAAGTGAGCGCTGTAAGGCTTGTGTTATGGGATACAGTGTAACGAATAGATATACTGATGAAGATATAAGTACCTAGATTATATTTATCTAGAAATACAAAAGACTCCATGACTAAAATACATATGGTCTTATTCATCATACAATCCTTTATCCCACCTTAAAAACCCATACATACCACTCACAATGGTGTGAGAACCACCCCACCTCCATGGGGAGGTCGGGTGGGTAAGAATGGAAGGTGACCATGACTCATTATTTATTTACTTGATGGTGACATTTTTTCATTAAGCAGGCAAAGAATCGAATACTTTATTTGCAATTTTCCATTGGTAGGGAAAGAATAATATTATTTTTATTAAATATTAATAATAAAGAATAATCAGCCTGTATTTGATGCGTTTTTCTTTCTTGTTTATAGATGAAATGCATATGTTTTTGGAGTATTTGGCACAAAAATTATAGCGCATTTCCACGAACTTCACGCTTGATTTTATAAAAAATGTAAATTAAACTTATGAAGGGGCTAATGACTTTTTAGTTAGTGATAATACGATTTTTTTACTTACATAAGTTTCGCGTCCAGAAATTTTTCAAATATGTATTGATTAATCGCAGACACATAAGTATCTCTGTCCATACCCGTTTTGCATTTTACTATCAAAGTATAGCCTGTAAAATAGAACTTACTATAAAAACATATAAAACACCTTGCTGACACATAAAATTTCGGTACGTGGTGGTTACCTTGTGAGAATTTGCTTTTTAAATGCTGCAGTGGTCCCAGGCAATATAGTGTGCCGTTCACCATTACCGTTAATCTAGAGCACAATGCCTCACATTCTTCCATACTATGCGATGTCAGTACTATACTACGGCCTGACGTCACACTGTTGCTAATTGACGACCATACTAGACGTTTCGAAGCTGGGTCCATACCTGTCAATGACGCAATAAAAAGCAAACGTCAATGATATAATTAAGCAGTGAAAGTAACAGAATTATCTGTCCCGAAATAAAATTTAAGGTTATTTAGTGTTTGTTCATAAGAATACACATTTTTTATTAATCCGACTCGAATGACCATTCAAGTTAAAATTTAGCTGTATTAACAAAACTAAATTTAACTTATTTATTAGAAAATTTGTCGTGCCGCTGGAACTTAAATATTTTCAATTTCTTATAGTGCTAGTGAGTTTAAAAGTTATATAAATATAATATGAATTAACTATAATGAAATAGACTTTTATAGGATAAAATTTCGCGTCGTTTAGATGTATATATTTATATTTTGGTTACAGAAGATAGTTCATAAATAACCAAGCTAAAAGTAACTTACAAATGCCAGTTAAAATGATAATAATTTGTACCAAACAAACAACAATATTTACCTGTAGTCGGTTCATCAAGAAATACTAGAGGAGAATCACCGAGCAATGCTACGGCAGTACTGATTTTCCTTTTAGTACCACCACTACATTCATGGACCTGTGAAAAATATCAAACCTTTATCACAAAGGTATTTTGCCACAAAGGGCTTTATATCAAAATTTCTCTCACGCATACTTTGAAGTTACGTTTATTCGCTATGTGCACGACAGAGCGCCACCTACAATACGCAACTTTACGGGATTATGCCAAATAATGACATCAGTTTGTATTTTATTGATTTCTAGTAAATATAGTAAATTAAAGATAAATAAAAATTATTATATATTGTATAATAATTTAAATACTGTCGGATTTCAATTCGGAATTTAGTACAGTCAATAATAACTCTTGTATTGATGTAATCTGGACTGAAACACTTGGGCATTGTTGCTTGTACGGTGGCTCTATTCGGCCAAAAGATTAAATTAGCAGTTGAACAAGCTAGATTTTGTAAGATCGAATGAAATATACGTGAGATTGTGGTTTTTTTGTATACCAAATAACACACTCAATGCTGAAAATGTCAAGCCAGTTTTCATTTTTATCAAAAAAATCAGAAGTCGGTCTTTAGTGGAAACTGTACATTTTTTCATAGTTAATCTTGTTAATAAAAACTCAAAATTGCTAAATGACACACCAGAAGGATCTAGGAGTTCTTGATCATTTGTTATTGATGAAATACCAACAAATTCTTGACTTTTTGTTTCGGTAGATTGATCCTCATACGATTTTTTGTCAGTGCCACAGCTTTTATCTTTCTTTCTTGAATTATTTGTCATTAAAATTCTTGATGTTGGATTTCAGCATCACAGTGATCACTGTAAATTAATCTAATACAAATAAAAGTTGTATCTCTTAATTTCGATTCAGAAAACATATTGACTTGATATCCTTGATCGATCATAAAAGGTTGAGTTTGATTTAATTCACTCCCTTCTTCAATTATTATTTGACTTGATGTGGTATCTGAGACTTTTGTGGTTCTTCGTTTTGTCAAGCGTGTATATCTAGCTAGGACCTGTGAATCATTAACCTTCCTCTTTCGATATATTTCAGGGAATATCGTAGGAGCATAACTCGGATTTTCTTCCTCGTCTGATTTTTTGTTTCCCATAAAATGTTCACTACAAATTGTGTCGTCAGGTTTGGGATACCATGGCGACCCATCAACACTAAAATAATAAAGACAATAATGAATATCACATAAAATATATAGCGCAAATAAAATTGATCATAATTTAAGGTTATTTCGCTTACTTATTTCTTTTTATGGCATCTATCCATTTATTTCTTTGATTTGATTTCCAATCCAATGTAGGAAATATATACACAGACTATTTGTGCCCTTATTTTTGCAATTCACAACACAACAACATCTATTAATAGGCATTTTAAAAAATTTTTGTTTATTACGAACTCCGTGCAAATTGACTTTACTTTCCCGGATTGTTGCGTATTTCTGCCACGATAAGCGCTGCGATCGCTTCACTATACCCCCACCATGTACTTCGCACATAGCGAATAGGGATTATCACGCAGTTTCGGTCAGAAATATTCCCGACTATAGCTTGACCGCCATAAACTCGACGAGTGTGCATGGGTACACACGGCATTGCCGACGCTGCAATATATCTCAAGTTCTCAAGATTATTAAGTCTTAGTGTTGTTGTTTCAAATGTTAGTGTTTGTATTAGTACAACGAATCTATATAAATATATAAAACTCAAAGGTGACTGACTGACATAGTGATCTATCAACGCACAGCCCAAACCACTGGACGGATCGGGCTGAAATTTGGCATGCAGGTAGATGTTATGACGTAGGCATCCGCTAAGAAAGGATTTTGATCAATTTAACCCCCAAGTGGATAAAATAGGGAATGAAAGTTTGTATGAAACTTTGTCAATTTTAAACCGATCGGGCTGAGACTTTGCATGCAGGTATAAGAAGAATCATAGATAATAATAATAATAATCTATTTATTTCTCTCAAGAATGGTTACAAAGTCTTATATTATAAAATACAAAGTATAGTTAGCAAATAATTATAACCTTTCCTGAGACTGGTGTCTGCACTAGGTTGTGAAACCTGTCTTACAGATCACCAGGCTCCCACTGCGCCGGTCATCACTTTAATACTACACTTTAGTATTCAATAAACTCATTTTCACGAGAGAATAAACGATATGATATATAATATACTTAAATAATGACTAATTTAACGCTAATAATAATCAAGTTGTGTGTATCTACGCAGGTGTTTGAGTGTGTGTATGTTTGTGCGTGGGTGTCTGTTAATGTGTGTTTGTGCGTGTGCTGTGTGTGTGTTTGTAAGCTTGTATGTGGTGAGTGCGTGTATGTAATGCACATACATTTGCCATACAAAAACCATTAAAACGAAGAATCAAATCCAAAAAATTAAAAATAAAATGCATAAGAAGATTCAAGATGGAACAGTCAGAAGGTTTTCAGTTTCAATGTACGTTAAGCCGAGAAGCCAATCACTCAAAACCCCTTTAATTTCATACCTCGAAAGATGATAAATAGGAATGATTTGATTTATTTTATTAAACAACATCGGACCTAAAAAACATGCAAATTTGTGGGAAAAACTCGTTTTGAATTCTTTTATCTGACAAACCTTGCCTTTATTACGTTTATTAATGTTAAGGAGGGGATTATATGTTAAAGAGCTGTGTGTTCTAATGACAGTGTAAAGTATAAAAAGTTGTCTCACCGTTAGCACCTTACATTTCCGGTATAAGTCCAGAGTAGGATATAACTACGGCAGAAAATAACCTACCTTTAGAACTTCTCTCTGTGCACGCTCCAATTTGATAAGGCTAGATTTAGGTATACCACCCCACATCGGAATGCAGTACGTTAATACAGACTGACAAAGTGCTAAATAAGTAATTCTTATTATTTTTTCATCAGCAGCATGACGCAAGTTCTTAAAAATGTAAATCAATTTTCTGACCCTAGATGTCATTAAATCAATATGAGAATGAAAACCAAGATTTTTGTCTATGACAATACCTAGATACCTAACTTGGTCCGCATGCTGTAGTCGAGTACAATCACAATCATTAGTGAAGTTTGCACAGGAGTGTGCTTTGATTTCGTGGTTGGTGTTAGCTAGATGATTAGTGTTTCTGATCGAGAACGAAATGTATTTAGTTTTGTCTTTGTTCAACGTCAGCAGGTTCCTAGCAAGCCATTTACTAACCAAGTTGAAACCTTTCCGTGCATAACGATAGACCTCATCCCATGTATCACCCTCGAAAAGAATCACTGTGTCGTCAGCGAAAGTAATGATTTTCCCGTTTGTGAGTATCAGCTGACATAGGTCATTTATGAAGGCTTGGAACAGGGTTGGCCCTAAAACGCTGCCCTGTGGAAAACCATATTCAACAGGAAGATCACCACTACAGGTATCAACAATTCTAACACACTGTCTTCGCTCAGTGAGATAACTCTCAAAGAAATCAAGCTGTTTACCACGAATCCCAAGTCGCTGCAGCTTGTTTATTAGAAGTGGGACAGAAACCGTGTCAAATGCCTTCGCTAGGTCTAAAAATATTCCTATAACCTTTTTATTCTTATCTAGGTTTGTTACTAGCGGTGGGCGTTTAAACGAAAAGCGCTTAAATAAGCGCGCTTAAAATATTAAGCTTGTAAGCACGCTTTTAAGTATAAGTGTTATAAGCTTTTCACTTAAAAAGTGTGAGTAAGCTTTCACTTAAAAAAGTGCAAGTATATTTTTACTTAAAAAGTGCAAATCCCGCCATCTATGTCTTTGCCAGGAAACTACATACTTCGATCCTTCTAGTCCACTACAGTATCGAAAAATGGGTACGCGGAATTCCTTGGAACTAAATATTTCACGTAAATTCAAATATTAGCCGTGTAGTGCCGGCCTAGAATAGAATAGCACTACCCCCTCTCATCCCGTGGGTGTCGTAAGAGGCGACTAAGGGAAACTTCACTTCACCTAAGGAGATGGGCAGCAGCATCCCCTTATGCGAACCGGTATACTGCGATCGCCAACCCGCCTGCCAAGCGTGGCGATTATGGCAAAACCCCCCCATATGCGAAACAATACGAAACGGCCCCTAGTCCCCGGCGGCCCCGCTATTCCTGGCTACGGTAGCGGCCACGGTAACGGCGGGGCAGGGGGTGCGAAGAATCCCCGGGTAGGACACGGCTACCACAACAACCGAATACTGGCCCTGGCAACCTACAACACGCGCACATTGAGGACCGATGCCAAGATGACAGAGCTGGAAGAAGCTATCAGCAAGTTACACTGGGACGTCATCGGGTTATCTGAAGTCCGAAGAGAGGGAGAGGACACGATAACTCTGGACTCCGGTAACTTGCTGTACTTCCGGGAGGGCGACCAACAGTCCGTAGGTGGTGTCGGGTTTATCGTCCACAAGTCCCTCGTCAACAACGTGCTGACCATCGGTAGTGTTTCGAGTAGAGTAGCGTACTTGGTACTCAGAATATCATCACGATATTCGATGACTGTCATCCAAGTCTACGCTCCAACCTCGAAACACGCCGATGACGAAGTGGAGGCAATGTATGAGGAGATCTCTCGGGCCATGCATAGCCACAAAACCCACTACACGATTGTGATGGGGGATTTCAATGCAAAGTTGGGGAAACGTTGCGGCGACGAGCTGAGAGTGGGGCAATTTGGAGTTGGGGAACGGAACGACAGGGGCCGAATGCTGGCGGACTTTATGGAGAGGGAGAACCTCTATATGATGAACTCCTTCTTCAGAAAGCCCGTCACCCGCAGATGGACCTGGATAAGTCCCGACGGCAAGGTCAAAAATGAGATTGATTTTATCATGTCGACGAAGAAGCAAATATTCAATGATGTCTCAGTGATCAACGCTGTTAAGACAGGAAGCGATCACCGCTTGGTAAGAGGCACATTGAATATCAACGTTAAGCTTGAAAGATCGCGACTGATAAAATCAACGCTCCGACCGGTGCCAGCCCAAATTCAAAACCCCGAGCGCTTTCAGCTCGAGCTCCAGAACC